ATTCCTGCCATCTTGCCTACTAGGAGGCATGCTGGGGTGGGTGCTCACTCCCACCCCCTGATGTCAAAGCCACAGAACTTTGGACAGTGCTCCCAATCAATGACATTTGGGAATGGTTCAATTGTTATGTGTGTCAGCACTATGCTTAAGTCAGTCATTGTATAGAAATAACTACATGATTCATCAAAGGGGCTTATAAATACTTGCACAGACAGGAGTGATTTAAAAACTATCAAGGGAAGAGATTCACTTGTGTTATTTTAAACTAGGATTGTCCATTTCGCATCTTATAGAACACGTGTGTCCCCTTGGCCTCTGGACCTACTTTTCCCACTGCTACATAGGCAGCACCAATGGTGCACTGCTTCCCCAAGCTCTCTGCTCTGTGCCTCCCTCCACGGTGGGAAAGGCTACTGCAGGGGCTTGGAGGACACATGCTGGCCCATTCCAGAAGGCTGCACACTACCGGTGCTGCCCACCCGGCCGGGATGGAGGCTTCATGTTATCCATGCAGTTTGTGAGGTGGGGAGCAGGGGGTTGTGTGCTGCCTGTACAGTCCCCACACCACTAGTGGTGCTCACACAGCAAGGAGATCCCTGGATGTTGTGCATCTCAGGTACTGCCCAAGCAACAGGGGTGGTGGTGCTATGGTAGCTTGTTGTGTTTAATGCTTTGAAGTTGTACCTGCTTATAGCATTGTTTATATTTAGCCTTATTTAATCATTGTTTAAGTTTTGTCCTTATTAACTTTTTGTTTTTTATTATTAGCTGGCTTTGAGTTGTTTTTATAGAACTCGTAGGTGCTCATTATATAATATCTTTTCTTTTTTATCACCACGATAAGTTCTTTTAACATAACATAGCAGTGGCCTTGTTACCAGCTCCAGTTAACTGAACTTGGCACTAACCAGCTGAATCAGAGGGATGAAAGAATTGGATATATTAATGAAAGGTGATAAGGGAGACCAATGGACAATGCCCAAAGTAAGACACCAGAAAAAGGCCAAATTAAGAGGTGTGCTTATAATGGGTCTGTTAGACAAAGGAATATGCTGACAGGATAAAAGATGGACAGTATGCTAACTGCATGGAGACCAATCCGAAAGCAAAAAGTCATCAAAGGAATGAAGCTGACGAAAAACAAGAAGGTGGAGCAAGAAAGTTCATCATGGTCATCATAAATCCAGCCTTCAACACCTGTCTGGACCGTCCCAGCCCATAACGTTCCCTTTGCTTCCAGGCTGTCTTTTCTGTTAAGCAAAGTAACATATAGGATTGGGTGAGATTATTGTGCTGAAATTTTTTCTCTCTCTCAAAATAGAAACTGCTAAGATAATACTAGTACTAATAAAGTTAGACTTTGATTTTAGGACACCGAGTTGTCCAAGACTTTGATTTTAATACACTGAGTCGTCTGCATTTAAGTAAAACTTTGATTTTAGGACATGGAGCTGCCTGCATTTGTATTTCACGTTCCATTTAATTGTGCTTTAATGATCCCTAAGCACTATCTGGTGGACAGTGGTGCCAGTGCAGGGTGAAGTGGGGGGGTGATTCTGGGAGACCACCCTTGCAGCATATGTTTTAGCCTAAATTAACCTATTTTAATCCTAAATTCAGTTACGTCTAAACCAGTTCTCAACTTTTTCAGACTCGAGGTGCTTCTTGGAAAATGAAGCTCTTGCTTGTTTTTTTGACTATCGAAAAGTAATAGAGAAATTATTGTGTTGCAAAGAACCTAGAAAGACCACAACAGGTCAGATTGTTTTTGACAGTATGGCTTCCTATTTGAAAGTTCTTAGCTTATCTTGTGAATATTTAACATTGCTAAAATTGTGTGGCAATATTATCCCCTAAGAGGACCTCATAGCACCCTTGTTGGGAATCACTGGTCCAAACCTTTTAGAAAGTACTGCATTCACCATTCTAGTATTGGCTGCATGTCAATAACATCATCCCACCACCAGTTTTGATAAACATGTCGTCATTCTATGTTTTTATCTTATAATTTAACCCGAAATAACTAGAACAAAATCCAGGTCAGTCTTCAGCTGTGTGTATAATCTGTGTAAGGATGTACTGTGTAACAAATCATCAAGCGTTGAAGTACATGCAGGCCTGGAGCCAAAACCAAACATTCTCCTCGATTCCAGTTCTCCATCTGCGGCAGCCCCAGCCGAAGCTCTTCTGCAGCCATGGGTTTCAGGTTATTTTTAACCCATGAACGGCGGTGCTCCTGGTGGCTGGGGAGCACGGGGGCGGCGGTAAGCGGGAGCTCCTGCAGTCGTCGCCAGTGCTGTTGGCGGTGGCGAGCAGCGACCAGGGGGCGGCGACCACCTGCAGATGCCGCCGGTGGCGGCGATCGCGGACCGCACACAGACGCTGCCGGCGGAGGGGCGGCGAGTGGTGACTGCCCGCAGGCGCTGCTGACACTGCTCCCTTTTTGCCGGGCGCGCACCGCCACGCTCAGGGGGTGCATGTGCATCCGGGTGCACCCCCTATGCGTTGCCCCTGTTTTAACCCACTGTCCAGGCTGGGGGCACAAGTAAATATGCCAGCCCTCCCGCCGTCAAAAAAGCAGGAGATGCATTTGCGTCTGCACTGAAGCCGCCACCGATGCAACGGAATGGGATGGATCTTAGCCCCCCCGCGGAGGTAAAGAAAACGTGCGC